AGCGTTTTGCATTTTGCATAATTTTAAAAAGTTTAACTTTGTTCAGTATTGAACAGCAGAAATTAGGTTTTCTTTTCGGAAGTAAAAGGAAAAAAACAGCGTCCGACAGCGCTGTAAACAACGGTAGTCTTGTGCGTAACAAGCAAGCGAATAATGAAGAAAACAGATTTTTAGACAGGAAACTGTTCTTGAAGTACAGAGAGAGAGAGCTGGGCATGAAGTATGATTTTTATTGTGGTGAAAGCAAAACAGTAAAAGTCAGAGGGAATTCATGACGATGTTTATGTGAAGCGTAGTTTGGATCTTCTTTTGCTGCTGGTTCAGTCAGGTTTATTTTTATTGTTTGGAGAGAGATAAAACGAACATCTCTAGAATCAGCGCAAAAAGGGCGTAAACACGAAGCGCGGACCCGCCGAAACATCAGAATCAGCGAGCTGTCGGCTTTCAGCCCCGACCGTGTCCGTGCTGTTGGGTGAGAAAGCCGACATGATTCTGATCCATCGGCGGGTCCGCGCTTTGTGTTTACGTCTTTGTGCAGAATCCGTGTACCTGCTCTCATTTACTGTTTTAGCTGTTTGGTGGTTGTTGAAATGTTGTGAGGTTTAACCTGAGATTCTGGCATTTTATGGTAAATTAAATTTATATTAAAAAATCGATTCAGGATTTTAATGAATCGATATCACGTTATCCACGCCAGAATCAATTTTAATCGATGAATAGATTATCAAAACCGACCCCTAGAGACAACCATTCGCACTCACATGCACTCCCGCATTCACACCTATGGGCAGTTTGGTGTTTCCAATTAACCTATCCCCACTAACTGCATGTCTCTGGACTGTTGGAGGAACATGAAAACTCCACACAGAAAGACCCCAGCCTGATGGTGGAATTGAACTCAGGACCTTCACGCTGTGATTCATGTTTAAAGTCTTAGTAGATTGGTGTTAAATGGCTTGACAAAAACCCCCAAAATATTCCCTTTAAAAGTGGTCAGCTCAAGGACTGAACTGAAAAGGGGGAAAAATACACATATAGAAGGCCTGAAGAGCTGTTCCTTAAGATCCCATTAAAAACTACTAAATGTAGGTGAAATATCAAGTAATGACGGGTGGCTAGAAACTTTTGCACAGTGTGACAAGTGTATTTTTACAGCGTTATGAATGAAATGAATTGAATCAGCGGTCCCCAACCCCCGGGCCACAGACCGGTACCGGTCCGTGAGTCGTTTGGTATCAAACCGCGAGAGTTAATGCTCAGGTGTGAAAGTTATGGTTTTCAGGGTTTTTATCATTAACTCAGTTTTCCTGGGTCTTTTCCCGTGTGTTATGAATAAATCTTTTTTTTGGTACCTGTACTGGTTTTATTTTGTTGTATTTATGAGCGACACCTTAAAGGCCGGTCTGTGAAAATATTGTTGGACATAAACTGGTCCGTGGCGCAAAAAAGGTTGTTGGACCGCTGAATTAAATTAAGATTACCACCATTGTAACAGGATTTGTGCTGCCGCCA